ACGATTAAGGTTATTCCTAGGATTAAGTATATGAGTTAGAGTTATCAGAAAGTATATATAGGTTTAGGGTATATAGGCTGAGGTTTAATTCCTTCTGCCATCGTCTGAGCACCCCATATCTAGAGTGGTGGGGTTAAAGGTATATAATGTTTTTTGTTTCTAAAGCTTGTTGCTTGGCTTTTTTGCACACAATCATTTTGTCCCATATGATATTACAAATGAACTGCCTGATATCACTTTGATAAGGTAAAAATTTTTGATGTCTTTGAAAGTAATTCTTCCGTGTTCATAGTAAGGGAAACTCTTGTTTGGATTGCTTGTTTATATAATTTAAAAAGTATGTCAAACGCATTAGAAAATTTGTCAAAATCGAAGAAGAGCAAAACGGAAAACTTTGTACGGATGGACGATGAATTGGAACTGCTTTTAATCGTTGCTCTCAGGTATAAAACGACAAGAACTGCGGAGAATGTTCACTTGGAAACATGCTAGACGAAATATTCTGATATTTTAGAATTATTTCTTGATCAGAACAAGACTTAGCCCAAATTGAAAAAGAATTTCCCCACCAGAATAAAAAAATCAATAAGTAAAATATTGCTCAAATCTATGAGCCTCTGCTCTGAGAAAGTGTCATCTAAAACAAATCTCTTTGGTGATGGTCTGAAGTCTGAGTGTAAGAATATCAAAATATTTCACAAGCTTAGCCAGGTAGCTTCACTTACTTAACAAGCAAAAGAGAGTATGTTGGCCTTTCCAAGAAAGACCAAGAAGGCATTTTTTATTGAAGAAGAAACCATGGCCAAATCATAAGTCATAGTACCCCAGATCTTCACAGAAACAACAACAGTGACACCCTATTCAGATATCAATTCACGTCAAAGGGTGTGTTTTCATCAGAAATTAATTTGAATACTAAAAAAAGGTGAACACTTTTTTGCTGGAAAGATAACTCAATTTCTTCATTAATGGAAAAAACTAACATCCGACAGGAAATTCTTGAAACAGTGCAAAGTTACAGAGTAGAATTCTTTAAGGGACCCCCTCCTTGTTGGAAGCAAATTAATCATACATTCAGTGAAGCTAAACAACAAATTATTGATTATGAAATAATTAAACTGTTGGCCAAAAAGTTCATAATTCCATCATCCTATGAGCATGATGAATTTGTTTCCCACTTTTCGTCTGCCCCAAGAAATACGGCAGTCACCCTTTGATTTTGAATTATTTTGTGGAATAACATCACTTTAAGATGGACACACTGTGGTCTGTGACTAAGCTCGTGACACCAAATTGTTTTATGGCGTCTGCAGACCTAAAAGATATATTATTATTCGGTCCCAGTTGCCTTATCTACTCAAAAATTTCTCAAATTTTCCTGGAAAATAATTTTATATCAGTATACATGCCTTCCAAATGGATTATTTAGTTCTCCTAAGAAATTTACTAAGTTCATAAAACCTGCATACCCTGTGATGCATAAATTAGGCCATATTTCATTAGGATATATTGATGACTGTACCTGTAATGAGCAAATCACTGTAAAAATTTTCTCCAGCTTGGGATTTATTATCCATCTAGAAAAATCGGTGATGGAACCTACTCAATCGCTAGAGTTCATAAGGGTTTTACTTAATTCTGCGCTTATGCAAATTACCCTTACCCAAATAAAAACAAGTATTCATGCCTGTAGATTACTTTCGTCTAATTCTAATTCAATCTCAATTTGTGAGGAAGCTCATGTTATTAGTCTTTTAGTATCCGCCTTTCTAGGTGTTATACTCCAAGAGACTCTACATATCCACTTAGCAAGAAGCATTGCTTGATATCCCTGACAACAATGTCAAGTTGCTCATCGGAGAGTGTAATGTAACTGAGAGATGTAGAAAGTTCGAAATATTGTAGCCGTCTTTGAACTGTTGCATGACTTACTCCAATTAGAGCAGACATTTCCCTAGCCTTTAAACCGTACTCAATGAAATATTGTAGCTGTCCTTTAGTTATATTGTCCTGAGGTTGACCACAGTCTCCATTAAAAGTTTTTTCATGTTGTCTGTAATTTTCAGTGTTTGCCTTCAAGGAACCTTTCCTCGCATGCTGCGCTTCTGAAATACATGCAAATACCTGTCTGCAATATTAAGTATTTGAGAACTCAGCATCAAAAGATTAAAGACTCTTTCAAGTTTAGTTCAAAAGTAATCCAGCATATTCTGCCTTAAATTTTTGCAGGCTAACTGACGGTTTAGTTCTTCCCACATTTCACATACTTGTTCTTTAATAAATGTACCGTCCGTAACGTTGTGTTCTCGGTTTTTCGCCATTTTAAATTCAGAAAGTGCAAATTTGTCTGCGGTAATGTTTTTAACTTTATGCGCAAGAGTCTACACAAAAACATTGAGTGTGCAATTGACCGAAACGTTGAATTTGCAAACTGAAACTTGGAATGGGTATATTGACACTTTGAATGTGCAACCAAACATTGAATTTGGTAATTGGCATGAAAGATTGCAAATTATTTTTGTACACCCAATGTTAATTATGATACATAAACAGCTTCATAGAAGTCATTCGAATTCATTCAATGACATCACCAGACAAATTTGGCAATGGAGTAACCAAAATAACATCTGGTTGTCAGCAACCTTATAATCATGGCAAAGACAATATTATTGCAATCCTAGAATTACGGAAATTGCGTGATGAGACAGAATGGATGCTTGACTCATTAATTAAAAAAAAACAAGCTATTTAACATAATCCCTGCCGTTGATTTATTTGCATCACGATTTAAAAGCCAGGTTGATAAGTATTGGTCATACCAACCTGACACCCTGGCATTTGAAGTAAATGCATTTTTGTTAAATTAGCAAGAACTTGAAAAACTTTATCCATTTCCACCTTTAGTTAGACGATTTAAAACCTGAATATTTAATACTGTGAAGCGTTAATGCCAGTAAATAAAGCAAAGCAAAGCTCAAGAACATTAAAGCTGAATTTGTTTACTTCGCCAAGATTTTCTATCGACAACATGGCCAGAAATGAAAGACACTTGCTACTATGTCTACAATCAACCAAATTGCTTATTTAAGATGGCAGAATGATAACAAATTCATACTATGAAAACCAAAACGAGCGCATACCTAAACATAAATGAATTTCCAAAATGCTTACGTCTAACAATTTACAAAGTACCTTTATGAAAGCTTCCTTCGTTTCTTGATCATTGAGAAATTGCCAAAATTCTGCTCGAAAAACTTGGACTTACAGTAATTCCTCACAATGTAAACTTTTAATTAATGGAGCAAATTCTCATTGCCTTTTAATTAATGCTGCGTGGTGTTGTTTGCTCCAGGAGTTTGAAAAACAATTGTTTACGTCTACCTTTCTCCTTCAATTGTTGATATACACTTTTACGTTGAGTTCAACCCATTGCAGCTAATACTTGCTCCGCCAACTACCTTTAAATATACTGCTTTTTACGAGCCTTTTTATAAATTATTGTATATAAGATTAGAGCGGTATTATGCTGACGCTGAAGATTCTCTTAAATTTTTGCGCCCGCGAAATATGTTGCGGACAGTCCTCTATTTCCAGCCATGATTGATTTCAGCCCGGCTGGAATATTCATAACCATGTCATTGTGAACTTATTTCACCCCGATGAATCTGGATGAAACTCAGCCGGGGCTAAAATTGCTCAATGTAATCAGCCTTTCAGGTTGGTAAAATTATTTTCCTTATTACTAATTTGTGTGAGCAAGTTCTGTATTTAATGATATTTAGCAACAGCCTTACGTTTTAAAAAATTTGATGCTTTTAAACCAGTGTATTTTGAAAAACTAAAAAAACGATGCCTTTTTGCTTAAGAGAACTTTTATCAAATTTCACGGCACGTATATTTCAATGTTTATGTTTTTGAGAGTGTTCAAGTTATTTATCCTATTCTCAATGCAAACTAATGACGTATCATCATTTGTTCAATTAAACGTGCCTACTCTATGGCTTTCCTCCGATTGCACGACGAGTGGCATATTTTACGAGATCATTGTTAATTTAGCAAGATTGGGGTGGTTGGAGTCAAATTTGTTTAATTTATTGCAGTGTGCTGCTAATTAATGCGTGACGATGTTTAAATCTTTGAGAAGATTTACTCTGACCGCCGTGATTTGAGATGATTATCAATGAAGTCGTAAATAAAAATGTTTTCTAGTATGGTTTTTTAACAGCAAAACTTTAATTACTTTAATATATTGAAATTCTTTGTAAAAAGAAAAATAGTTTTTGATTAAATTAAATGATTTTTTAACATTTTTTCAGGTTTTTCAAGCATGTCAGTCATGTCTTAAGTAGGATAGGCCGACAACAATCTGCAACGCAAGTTGTACGGTAATATTTCTATATCAAAAGGACTTAGCTCCATGACTCGTAGAATAATTTGAATGACAATGAGCTTTTAAATCCATACCATTAAAAATACTATTAATAATGTAATCTTTGAGAAAAAGAGCTTAAACACATCCAAAGTAACTCCAAGCAAATAACCGACTTTCTATACCACGCTGGTAAACATGTGCTGCATTACATGTGCTGCCTTGCTACACAACACAAATACTTTACACAATTTCCACATACTAAACATTCATGTGATTCGAAATTGCAAAGACTAGTTATTCTATTTCATACTTGCCAGTTAAACTATTTTCACACTTGTGTTAGCATTCACGTTATAATACAGTTAAATTGGCCGCAACGACTTTCCACGATTCATTATTATACATGCTGGCAGAAAATCAATACATTTCGTAAGGGTTAAAGTATTGTGACAAGAATTGGACTTTGCATACAAAATTTAGTCTGTACATCTATTCCACTGAATAAATAGAATATGTCATGTCTGTTTATAGGCATAAAAATCAATTACTTTGTTCTGTATATAAACGTTAAAAACTTTGTCCTACATTAAGATACCTACGTTTATGTTTAGATGGACATTAGACTTACCAAAGTGAACTTTCTCTTGTTCAAGTATCAACAGCTTTCTCCAATTTAAAGGCATAAACGTAAATCTGCACATATATTCGACTTAACTACTTAAATTTTCTTTGCATGTTATTGAGTCAAAATCTTTTAATAATATCCAAAGCCCGTTGTACAAATAAATAGCTGTGTTGATGATTTACATACTAATACATTTTGTTACGCTTGAATAAGTGTGAAGAATAGTATTGGCAGTAATAATCCCTGATATTTATATTACACTGCATAAAGGCGGATCTCCACTAGACGATTTTTATGACGATCGTCTTAAAAATTCGCTGCGCCACATGCGCAGTAGGAAATAAAAATCGTCAACTAAATCGTCAAGCGCTCGACGAAAAGTAGAAACGGTTTCTACTTTTCGTCGAGCGCTAGACGATCGTCGTAAATTGAACCAATGAAATTTCATTCCGTGAAACTAATTACCATTTCTCTAAAGTCAAAATGGCTGCCACCAGTGGAGAAAACGAATTCCAACTGAACGGTCCAAATCCTGTAGAAAATATTCCGTCAGAGATTCAAATACTTGCATCTCCGAGGAATATCTCAGTGGTGCAACATTTTGTTGATCAAAATGTGGTGCAAGATGTTGGAGAGCTCCATAAGGAAATGTTTTTGCAAGCTCTCCGAGACTATAGTTGCTTGTGGGATACAAGCAATATAAACTACAAAAATAGGACCATGAAACTTAATGCATGGAAATCTTTGTCTCGAATGTTCCAGCGAGAAGGTAAGTGTTCTAAATTAATGGAGGACTTCAAGAAACTTGAGAATTTCACTTGTGTTGTTTGGTTATTGTGATGTAACATGTTAAACATGCTAAAGTGGACAGGAAAACTTCTCGACGTTTCTGCGTAAGGGTGTTCGTCTCACCATTTCGTTTGACTGTGCTCCTTGACTATTTATGTTATTTCGTATTTTATGTCAACTCTAACAAAATTTGTTTCTTGCCCTTTTTTAAGAAAATTTTTAAGAACCTTAAAGATTCTCTAAAAAAATGCCTTGATAGGAGACGAGCATTGTCTAAATCTGGGGCAGTTGCTTCGACACTTCCAACATGCAAATATTTTGAGGTTATGAGATTTCTTCATGAGAAAACAAGCAATTTGGAAACTCACAGCAATGTGGATCTTGAAATCCAAACAATACCAGAGAACATATTGGACATATCCTCATCACAATCTCCAGGACCTTGTCAGCCTTCTTCAAGCTGTTCAAGCGTATCAGATGAGGCAAAATATGTTAAAAGAAAATGTCCTAATTCTAACGATCAACTAGACCCATTTCTTGACCATGTGAAGAGCATGGACCAGAAAATGGTAAATTATTTAGAAGGATTGTCAGGTAGAAGAGAAAATGAAGATAAGGATGAAGCAGAGTTATTTTGTATGAGTCTTGTTCCAGTTTTAAGAGATATGGAAAAAAAGCAACTCAGACAAGTTAAATTAAAAATTCAACAGCTTTTGTATGATTTACAATATTCAGATAGCTAAAAAAAATTGTTGTAGAACTTCACAGATCTCATTAAAAATTAATAACATACTCTCACTTATACAAGATACATGCCTTCCAATGAATACAGATATATAGCAAGTGAAATCATTTATTTTTAAAATTATAGCTTAAACATGTATTGCTAACTACATAAGTGAAAAACCCCTTTCGTATGAAAACCCATCACATCACTAATGCTCATATTGAATATAAATAGCTTTAAATTTGTTTTTATTTTGAACACCTTACTATTTGCCACTGCCAGTCAACTGCTCCTTCATTATTAAAATAATTGGCAAATTGTTCACGAACCCACTTAGCTTCTGCACCATAGTTATTTGATGCACCAACATCTGTAATGTCACCCAATCCATTCATACAATTTGCATCTTGTCGCCACTCACCAGGGTTAAACTCATTACCCATTTGCCCATCTTGATCAGCAAATGATGGTGGGCAGTATAGATTTGAATCGTCATCTTCATTTATGCTCATAAGGAAGTTATGCAATGCCACAACAGCTTTAGTTATGGCAATCACATTATCAACTTTGGCAACTATAGGCCTATGAAACACACGAAACCGACTAGCACATATACCAAAAGCATTTTCAATGACACGTCTGGCTCTGCTTAGCCTGTAATTGAAAATTAGTTTCCTCAGACAGGTTTGAAAAGGATAGGGCTTCATCATGTGGCGTTTTAGGCCAAATGCATCATCCCCTACAAATACGTGGGGTAGTACTTTCGTTGAATGGGTAATCTTGCCATCTGTGGGCATGTTGAGAAGCTTGTTTTCAATAGCATAGCCAAGATTGCTGTTGGCATACACGCTGCCATCACTTTGCCGCCCACTATCACCAATATCAACCAGTGTGAATTTATAATTTGCATCACTAACTCCCAACAAAACAATGCTATGAGTCTTTTGTAATTAAAAACTCATGCCTTTCCAGCAGGAGCAAACATCTGCACATGCTTTCCATCAATTGCTCCCAGCATATTAGGAAAGTTCCATCGATCTTCAAAATCTTTAGATACTTTTTCCAGTCACTTTCAGTGCAAGGTGTTTTCATGAAACCCATTTCCTTTAGTTTGTCCCAAAGTGCGTTGCATGTTTCGTAGATAATTCGACCAACAGTCGTTGAGCTCATTCTATAATTGGCAGCGATAGTTGTATGAGCATCCCCAGTTGCCAAATATCGCAGAGTGACTAAAAGTCTTTGATCTACACTTATCGGTTCTCGCATTTTCGTTTCTTTCTTTCTTATCATCGGGGCAATATACCCCAACAAGGTCTCAAAAGTGTCAGGTAACATCCTGAAATATCTGAAAAACATTTCATGATCGTATAATCGCAAGTCTTTAACCAGCAAATTGTACTCTCCTTTCTCATTTCTTTCCTCGTACAGTTTACGCATCCAAAATCTTGGTCGTTTTCGCTTTGTTTTCATGGATCTTACTCTACATGCATGCAGTAAAATCAAATGCCTTCGAAGAAGTAAATAATGCATTAAAGTTTGATTCACATCCGCCATTTTCTCAATTTCACATTGCAATTTGCAATCGTCTTTGACGATTTTGTTGACGATTTTATTTCCTACTGCGCATGTGGCGCAGCGAATTTTTAAGACGATCGTCAAAAAAATCGTCTAGTGGAGATCCACCTTAACGCATCTATGTATAAAATATAGTACGATAATTGAAGCCAAAGCCACAGAATAATGATTATACAGAAGGGTCACTCAGGTGTACAACGCGCCCTCATTAGACCGTATTCTATGGTGGATTATTGTTCAGGTTGAGATGCAGAAATTCATGACTGAGTAAAAACAATATAGATGTACTGATATGTACTCACTTACTATGAATCTGCCTGTTTACACCCCGAAAACTTGCAATCAAGAGAGTTAGAGCTATCAAAAATTCGACATTTATTTTCTATATCCGCCATATTGTTTTGTTACATGTTTGTAAATGTCGATCGTCCAGGTTGGTATAGTCCTTTATATTGTTTTGTGTGAAATTTGCTAAATTTGCTGGCTCATATTTAAAAATCGGTGCTACATAATGATTATTAATTTGAAATGATATGTTTAGCTATTAATCTTCCATAGCTGCTTGATGGACAAATGGACTAAAAAATGGAAAACTATTCTTGAAATTGAATTGCGAAGGAGTCCTTCATCTTTGTGTGTATATAATATAACGAAAATAATTTGGCACATGAGATTGCGTACGCAGAAACGCTTGGTCGCCATCTAGCTCCTGCTGTACACACTGCTGAGCAGTGCATTCTTAATAGAAAATTTAGTTGAAATCATTTATAAAGTTTTCATTTGTATCGTATTCGCTATCATCACACTCATCCGGCTCTTTTATTGGGCCGTCATCTTCAGAGACTTAGTTACTGCAGTCAGAACAGCCGTAAATGTCAGTACATTGCAAATCAGACTTCACGCACGAGCATCGAATATTCTTTCAACTACCTTTACACTTGCATGTTACGCACTCAATAAGTGTATCTGGAGCAGAAGGTCTAGTCATCCAAAAAATCTCTAACTGACCATTTTTCATGTGCCCTCCATGCCACACAGGAGGTTGAACATTAATGGGCGATTGCAAACAATTCTTCCAGATGCCTGCTTGGAAGTGGGCTCTCTTAATGTGCAAAAGCAGGCTATCGGCATTCGGGGAAGGCATTCGTCAGATCACTTGCCAGATGCAAAGGGAGTGTACCTAGTACCGAAAGAAATTCAAAGCAAATGCAAAAAAGACAGTAGTAGCAAATATATATTTATATTTATCTTGAAGCATTAACTCTTATCTGAACTCTTATCACCATAAAGAAGAAATACAAATTTATTTAAAGAAAACAGTACTTGCTCAGGAAGATCAGATGTCGAACCAATACATGTCGGCCATTATTCCAGCCAGATGTTGAGGATTTCTCACTTGTTTCCAACCAATAAAATTAACTGACGTCAATATTTAATAATGATTCAACTATATTTTGAGTTAAGAAATGACTTCGGATCATTTTAAAGGTTTGGAAAAAGTCAAAAACCCCTATTGTCAGGCTGGAATGATGGCGGCTACCATTCGCGGCATGACATGCGCGAGGACAAAAAATGTCAAGGGTTCCGACAAAAGTGACTCTTCTGCACATTTGTATTCTGTGGCAAAACTTGGTCATTTGCTCATGACCTTCGTGGGCGGTATCGGTACTATACTTGTGCATTACAAAATCAAAGTTTTTGCGTTTTTATTCGTTCTACCACTTTTGATTGGAGCAAATTTTCGTGAAAGGGACAAAACGACCGGCAAAAATATTTAGTCTTAAAAAGTTTGTCTTGCTGGGATTATAATGGCAGAAAATTGAGATGGTACAAATTCGATCTGCATTGTTCAGAAACAAACCGAAGATTATATGATACTACTGCTTCTTAAAAAATGTGGAAATACTACAGAATGCTAATACTGCCACCAAAATTTCATCTGGAATGACGTTTATGGAAGATTGCTACAAATTTACACATTTAACAACACTTTGTTTTGGGTTGTTATTCACCTCGCAAAGATCATAATAATTTCAAATTACGTCTTTATTACATCGGTGAAAAAACAAAACAAATAGACATAGGCAAATAATGTAGAAACAAATACAGAATCCTGCCACTGCCACCAAAATTTCATCTGGAATGACGTTTATGGAAGATTGCTACAAATTTACACATTTAACAACACTTTGTTTTGGGTTGTTATTCACCTCGCAAAGATCATAATAATTTCAAATTACGTCTTTATTACATCGGTGAAAAAACAAAACAAATAGACATAGGCAAATAATCAGAAAGACATTTTGATGAACAATAGTAAGTTGAAAATAGATCAAAAACTCTACAGGATGTTCATCATAAAATATGCGAAAGTACCTCTCTGTGTTGCATTAAGCAAAGCAAAGCTTTCAACCAGTTCCTTTGTGAACAACTTCAATATCGATGAATATATTGAAGATATAAATACCTTTGTTCGTACTTTTTTGTAATTTAAGTACCCATCTTCTAAAATGGCTCGCACAATTGACATTGTCTTCGTCACCTTCAACTTTCAAATTCAATACAACTTGCCATCTTATTTTTCAGTCGTTAAAAAGCTAAGAATACAGAGCTTTAAGGTTAAAACTCTTTACCGGTTTCCCTCTTTATCTCATGAAAATTTTACCTTATTCAGAAGTTTGTAAAAGGATAAAAACACGAAAATTGTGATTTTGTAATACAAAAGTATAGTAAAGTAGGACCGATACCCGGCAAGTGCTAAAACCTGGACTTTTGACAGTGGACTGTTCTTATTGACTGTTGACTGTAAAATGGTTTGTTGTAAACCGGGGGAGTAAACCTTTTTATATTACTGCTGAATCGGTGGGAGTGAAAGTTAACAATCTTGATTGCAAAGCGCTTTGCCTTTATGAATTTTCTACATAATTTTAAATTTCGCCAAATAGATTTCAATTTGAGCAAACTAACCCATACTGCGTTTTAACCTGTTTATCTTCAATATCAAATGACAGCAAATGCGTTACACGGCCGGTTTTTTCCGTATTACTTGTTAAATTTTGTGATGTAGCATCTACCTCCCTTAGTATACACTGACTTACACCAACAAATAGAGATATCACATGTAACTATAGGATCACATTTAATGTTTAACTTCTATTGTACGTTTTCCATCAAATTCAAAAGTAAAAAACAATTCTTAACTGTTTATTACTAATTTACTGTCCTTAAACATCACAAAAATGTATAAAAGTCAAGAAATTGAAGAAACCAGTAAGATTCAATTTACCGTGTACTTTTCATTTCAGGTATTTAGCGTATAATTTCAATACTACACGGTAGAACTTTCAAAAAACTTTTGCACATTACACACATTTATATTGTCTAAAATAGATCCAAAATGTGGAGAGTGCGCAAAAAAATAAATTGTAGAAAATCATCAAGAAAGCTAGATGTTACGAATGCGCGTAATATAATCTTGTACTTATGATTTCAAAACTACACCGTAGAATTTTTATAAACTTTTGCATCTTACACATATTTAAATTGTCTAAACTATATCCAAAATCAAGAGAGGGCACAAAAAAATAACTTGTAGAAAATCATCGAAAAAGTTAGATTTTACGAATGCGCGTAATATAATCATGTATAAATTAGTTAAGAATTCCGGTTCTTTACTAAACAAAGGCCTATAAATAAAAAACTACATAGTAGAATTTCTTCAAACTTGGCCACATTGTAGATATTTTTATATTCTATAATATATCCACAATCTGGAGAGTTTAAAAAAATATAAAAGGACTAAAATTTCTTGAGAATGTACTCTGGAATAAACTGTAAGGTTGGCAACACATTTGACAAACAGCTCTATAGCTAAAAAACTACAGGTTAGAATTTTTTAAAACTTTGGCATATTACACATATTTCTATTTTATAAAATATATCCAAAATTTGGAGAGTGCGCAAGAAAAGAAATGATAGAAAAACATCGACAAATTTTGATATTTCGTATGCGCGTAATTTAATCTTGCATAATTAAGTTAAGAATTCCGGTTCTTTAAAAAACAAAGGCATATAAGTAGAAAACTACAATGTAGAATTTTTTAAACTTGCCTATATTACGCATATTTATATTTTCTAAAATATATCCAAAATCTGGAGAGTACACCAAAAATAATATGTAGAAAATCATCGACAAATTTAAATGACACGAAAGCGCGAAATATAATCTTATATAATGTAACCAGGGATATACCGGGCGAAAAGCGAAGTTTAAATATAAATATCAAAGCCCAGCAAAGTGCTTTTAAAAGAGCCATTTATTGCATAGAAAGAAATATTTATTTAAAAGTGTCAGGTTTCGTCATGACTCTCAAGACATTATCAGACAATATTGAATTACAAGTATAGAGGGATATATATAGTATAGCTATTTACATAATATAAATTACATGGTGGGATGAAAATGTGAAAGTAAATATTGGATAAGATAGTATGACGTGGGATAAGTTGAAACACGAAAGAAACAAAAAAACAAACAAAACACAAACAATCACAAAGTATACAGACATGAGGACGGACGAAATTAGATTAAAGCAACTGAAGGACAATGGAGTTTCCTTGGACGTTAAGAGATGGTTTCATTTTGTTGATTAAGAGGCTTTCGTGAATAAGAAGTTCTTGTGAGTTTGAGCATGAAGAAAGTATTTTAAAATACT